AAGACTCACACTGAAGGCCTGAATTGCCACTGATTCTGAGATTCAGATACATATTGAAGTCTGTCATAAATGTGAAGGGACTAATGGCAGATTATATCATGATTTGGAGAAACGATGGGACGGAGATGAGAGAGCTATACAGTATGAACACAGATTAGTTTATATTTAAATGATTATAACATTAGCAAGGAATCCCATTTCCGCCGCGTATAAGAAAAATAATCATGCTTTGGTAAGTAAATTATGACTTTAAAAGTTGAAATTATGATTTTAAATGTCATAATAACATACTAAGTCGTAATTATTGTATGTGATAAAAAAAATCTAAATTAAATGCCAAAAAGTCATAATTATGACATAAGTCAAGATTATTACAATTATGGCAAAAAGTATTTTTTGTCTCATAATGACTTTTTGTCATAATATCAATTTGGTATGTCAGAATTTCGACTTTTAAAGTTAAAACTTAGTTTGTCTACTACTACTTTTAAAGCATCATAAAGCGTGATATTTTTCCTACATGGCGGAAATGGGCTTCCATACATTAGAGTCATTTGAAATATAATTAGATCAAATTTTTTAAGAAAATCCTTTACAAAATTCTGTACAAAACTCACCTCTGCGTGAAAATTCACGGTGTTGTTGGAGCTCTCTGTAACTATACATAGATGGAGAGTTATGGATGATTTCCAGGGAGTTGCTATGCGGTTGCTGAGTGCTTTGAGTTGTGTGAGTGCTGGTTTGAGTGCTGTAAGCGATGTTTCCCGTTCTAGAACGTCTGATTTCAAGCGATTCGGTCCATCTAAATGGCTAAACAAAAGATCTTATATAAAGATGCTGGTGTTATTATACATCTTATTGTCATGTCAATTTCATGTATTTTATACTGTTTGAGAAGGAGGTAAAAATGTGTAACAGATGTAATGTCAAAATCCAAAAATAAGAAAGCAACTAAAACAGTTATAAATATATATAAAAGGGTGCTACATGGTGCTGATTATGCAACCTCCAATGTATGTTTTTCTATAGGCTCATATAATTATATAATACTTTCTAGTGTATAATTTATGGTAATTTACAGACTCTTTTTGTTATATATATATATATATATATATACATACATACATACATATTACATTATGTTGTAATGTATGTACAACATTTGTGTTATGATGAAATGTTGTATATATTATTCGTTGACAGACCTAATAAAAAAGTAAAAACAAAACAAAAGTTTAAATTTTTTAGTTTACAGGGACAAAACTGTCACATTAGCATGATATCTTAGTAAAGTTATCTCAATAGCATCTTTCAGGGAGTAGGATCATTTTCTCCATAATATTCCATAAACAAAAATTGCCTCAGGCACATTTATGTGTGTTGTTATGTGATGTAGTGTGTTTCAGGTGGTTGCTAATACATTGCTAGGTGATTATTATGGTGTTCTGGTGGTTACTTGCCTGACTAGTTCTCCACTAGTTAATCATTTTATCATCCTCCAAAATAAAATCATGATAGCTCCATCAATGTTTAGAAAAAGGAAAAAAAAAAAAGTTCTAGAGAAGAAATAACAATAAAATGCAACCCTGACAATTTAAGTCTTACTTTCCTGTTATTTCCCAATATGACAATTTTTTTGTCAGTGGCAAGCCTTTATGATTTGTATATAAATGAGCAAAATTACATTTTTGCTACAAATTTTGCTTTTTCTCTGTAAAAAAACAGCTGCAGCACTAAGAGCAGAGAGGATAAAAGGGATCAGCGTTCATCTGTGTAACAGATTAGTCTTGTTAAGTGTCTGACATTGGGAATTTCCTTGATTTGTTTGATGCTGCCAAGTCTGCCATTGAGTTCTAAGCGACCGCTTTAGTAAAAGATGCATTGTTTAGCTGATTTGATTTTAATTGGCTTAGCTGAAACTAACAGATGTGCGCAGCACCAAGCGAATGGGTTTAGAGATTTTCAACAATGGAAGGAAGTTACATTATACTCTGGAAATCCTTTGATAATGTTTGCTGCCAGAATACTGCTGTTCCTAAAACATACACTGCGATTAGCGCCTTCGTAGAATCAGTTCTGATAAGAATAGTACTCATATTGACATACAGAAAAGGTTTTTACCAGATTAAGATTGTAAAAGGTTAAAGTTGCATGCTAGTGAGCATAGCAAAGTGTACACAACATGGCTTTGAAATTGCCTCAGGCACATTTATGTGTGTTGTTATGTGATGTAGTGTGTTTCAGGTGGTTGCTAATACATTGCTAGGTGATTATTATGGTGTTCTGGTGGTTACTTGCCTGACTAGTTCTCTACTAGTTAATCATTTTATCATCCTCCAAAATAAAATCATGATAGCTCCATCAATGTTTAGAAAAAGGGGCATTTTCCACAACATTCAATGGGAAATGTGGAAAGTCATTCCATTAAACACTGCTAATCGCTTGGTTTGACATATCTTTGGTCTCCAGTCGACATCAGTCAGCTCTCTGATGGGTTTTTCCAGGGATCTGCTCATTTTTCTCAACCAATTGTCCTCTAAAAGTGGAATGACTGGATCCACAGGTGGGTTTGCATGATAAAGAGTGAATTATTGATGCCCGTAGCTACTGCTATTTCAGCACGATAACAAGTGAGAGACGGCAAATTGTCGACTTTTTCACAGTTCTGCTGATGGGGGATTTACTGTGATTAAAGTGACACTGATTAATTGAAACATTTCCAACCTTTGCTAAAGTTTGATTGGACAAAGTAATCCCAAATTTACTAGAATTTGTGGTAAACAAACCATTTCTCTTTTTAGGCACACAATGAAAGAGACTCGTGTAGATTGGTTTGAAAACCTCAGGAGGAGGATGGGGGTATCTTAACTATAACCATATGCTGGTTAAAGCAAGAATAATTTATTATCTTTATAAACAAAAGGGGGAATCTTAACTATAACCATATGCTGGTTAAAGCAAGAATAATTTATTATCTTTATAAACAAAAAGTATCTGTGTTATCACTACCACACTTGTTTAACATATTCCTAGCGGCGCCTTATGGCCAAGGGATAAACTTGTGTGTCGTAAAGTGTTACGATTTGCTATGAAAAGCCATTTTAAGGTATTTTGTGTCATATTTTTCATGTTGCGTTCCCACTGCATGTCTGAGGTTAAAAGCAAGCTGCATAATTAAACGATAGAACATCCCTTGGTCTTCACAAAAAGGATTTGTATGTGACAAGGGGGGAAATGGTGCTCAGAAGTGAATGTCACACTTATTTTTAAATGTTAGAGAGACAATAATGGATAAGTCTTAAGAGAATTTGTGGTAAACAAACCATTTCTCTTTTTAGGCACACAATGAAAGAGACTCGTGTAGATTGGTTTGAAAACCTCAGGAGGAGGATGGGGGTATCTTAACTATAACCATATGCTGGTTAAAGCAAGAATAATTTATTATCTTTATAAACAAAAAGTATCTGTTATCACTACCACACTTGTTTAACATATTCCTAGCGGCGCCTTATGGCCAAGGGATAAACTTGTGTGTCGTAAAGTGTTACGATTTGCTATGAAAAGCCATTTTAAGGTATTTTGTGTCATATTTTTCATGTTGCGTTCCCACTGCATGTCTGAGGTTAAAAGCAAGCTGCATAATTAAACGATAGAACATCCCTTGGTCTTCACAAAAAGGATTTGTATGTGACAAGGGGGGAAATGGTGCTCAGAAGTGAATGTCACACTTATTTTTAAATGTTAGAGACAATAATGGATTAAAGTCTTAAGCATCTATCTATACACTTTACAAAAATGGAAATGTCTGATGTGTATATCTATTTTTCTTCTTTCACAAATACATTTTTACTTTATAAAAAAGCAAATGCAGTGGCTTCTGTACCTCTTTGCTCTTTCAGAACTGAAGGAGTACAAAATTCAAACTAAATGTTTTTTACAAGTCTATACATAAATACATTTCCAAACAGGGCAGTAGAAGTAGAATCAATATTCCAAACACAAATGCTGTGAAATCACTTGCATGACAATACACTGATCAACTGTAAATGAAGTGGTTACTAATAAAATGAAGATTTTACTTTTTCTTCTTCTTTTTTTATTACATGTACCTCAAATAAACAGCACTACTTTTAGCATAAAAAGAGGCAAAGTTGGACATGCACAGCAATGTAATATAGCAGAGGATCTGCTGACCTCTGCTGACAACCCGACAAAATTGTTCTGAATAGCTAGACAGTTGCATTCTGAGGGAAAATCAAAGACAACATAAATACTACAGTTGAATAGAATACCATTGAAACCATAATTACACTGACCTATCATATGTAGTAACCCGCTATCCACGGTCTTACCTGTGGTTATGGTTTTGCTATTTCAAATTCTACAGTATGAAAAAAGTACTGTAAATATTCATTAGATCAAGTACGCAGTAGTCAAAGAGTGCTGCAGGGATGACGTATTTTTGAAATAATAATTTTGAAAAATAACGCATATGTTATGTAAATATAAAAAGCAATTATTGATTGTAATTAGGTAATTAGCCAATTTGTACATGCGAATTAATCGCTCAATCGCTGCTTTGTTTATGGTTTATATATCTGCAGTCCTATTTTTGGTTTCTCTTTTTGAATGGCGAATGTAGACTACTGCCTCATGCTGATATAGACAGTTATTTACGCATGTGCTCGTTGGTTGCTGGTTTTAGTTTTAAGGTGTGTTAAAGCTCAACTTTATAGCCCAGACTCATGCATCATGAGGTGACAACACAGTCTGCATTTGCCACCACTAGCACTTTGTTGTCAGTTTGGTGTGTGACGGCCTTTAGAGGTTCAGGCCCAAGTAGGGGGAACACCTTTCCTGTCATTATTGTACCTATGAATACGTCACTCAACAAAAGGCTGCTCGGGCAGAGTGTCACCATAACCTGGCTACTACACCTGATATGTAAATTAGTCTTGTGTGTTGATTTAATGCATTTGTAATGCGTGTAATGTCATTACCTTTAGAGGCTGGGGGCCACAGGTGAGAGAACCACTCATGCAGGTTGTTCCAATCCTCTTCCTCCAGGACAATAGGCTGCAGTGGAGGCCCACAGAGATCGCACTGCGCCAACACTCGTGGAGCCTGTCGCACATGTGGCATCACTCTAGACGATGGCAAGTCTGAAAATAAGAGTAGTGATGGTTACAAACATGCTGTTAAAGCTGCCAGCTGTAGATCGATTTTCTCGATAGACACATGGTTCTGTGGTACATTCAAATCACTGTATGTTTGAGAGGCCTGACAGAGTTAAACAGGCCCAAGCAGTCATACGAGTTTGAGTTTGATAAACTTATATTCGCAATTCCACTTGATGGCACAGAAATGACAGACTGCAGGTTTACAATATTTTGCACATGAATACTTACTAATATCATCATCCTCCTCATGTCGCTGAAGCTCAAGCATTGATGACGGCCCACTTCTGAAAGCCACGTCACTACACAAGCAGAATTTTAAATTGAGTGATTATTTGCACTGGCCACACAACAGTTATTTTTATCCTAATAGTCTGCTGCAGGGGTTAGACAAAGGTAAAAATATAATATATAACATCAATAAAACCAACTCTTTTATTTTAATATAGTTTATTCTTATGATGGCAACTTTCAGAAGTTAGAAGCCATTACTCTAGTCTTCAATGTCACATGATCCTTCAGAAATCATTCTAATATGCTGATTTGGTGCTCATTAAACATTTATTTTTATTATTAGTTAATGTTGTTGTGGAAATTGTGATATCGTGAGCATTTATTTAAAATATAGAAATCATTTGTAACGTCATAAATGTAACTATTGTCACTTCTGATTGTGTCCTTGCCGAACTGAAATATCAATTTCTGCTTTCATTCATATAATTATTGCATTATTATATTAAAATTATTATTGCTATATATACTAAATTGATACAAAAAAGACCTTGTATAAAATCTATATTAAATATATAGTATGCATTACAAGATAAACTGCAGATGTATTTGCAGTATTTACACTCATTTGTTTAGGCCAGGTATCTGCCTTTAATAACTCAACTTACACATCAGATAATATGTTGGGTCCCCTGGATACTCGGACACTTGGTTTGTTTCTGGTCCCTGACGGCTCCTCAGTAACACCACTGGTGAAGCCAAAAGAGGCACGGCTGTTTCCCTGCAGCTGATCATCACTTTGGGCCATATTCTCACTCGAGTGATCTGACTGGTCCTCAAGAGAGTGAAGGAGGTTTCTGCGTCCCTGTTTTCTGCACCTTAGTCCACTTTTTACCATGTTTTCAGGTTTTTCAGAAGCAAAAATAGCATTCATTGAGGCTAAAGATCGTTTGATTGATTTTGGCGTGGTGATGATGTTTCTTTTTAGGCTCCTGGTGTGATTCTTTGTTTTTTGTGATTTCATTGAATTTCCATCCTTATTAATCACACCACGTAGAGGAGTATTTGTTAGTTTGGACTTTTGTGGAGGAGAACTGCGAGGTGTGGGAAGCCCATCGGCTGGTTCCTGAGACTGTGGTGCCTCCCACCAATTAGAAGGAGCTTTTCTTTGTCTTTTCTGTGGAACGTTGTCTGGCACAGAACTGTCTGGTCTTCTAAGAGAAGATGAAGTCTGTTTCTGTGCAGATCCAGATTCACGCGAGTAGACCCAGTCAAACATTCTCTTCTCACCTGTTTTATTTATAGGAAGAAACAGTAAGTACAAAAACTTAAATCAACAGAAGTACAAGTTTGGGAATGAGTTTACCTCTAAGGAGGTTGTGCTGTCTGTTAGGACTACACAATTCTGGACTAATCTCTGCATCATTCTCATTCGGAAAAGCTCCCACTTCCTCTCCTGGTGATGCCACTTGAGGTTGAGTGGGTGTTGATTTTGGTTTCCTTCGACCACCTGTTTTCTTAGTAGTCTTCTGCTCAGCTCCAGCATTATGTCCATCGTCACCTGCTATTGTCTTTTTAGCACTGTCCAACACATTGGGAGTCATCTGCTTTTTCTGATTCCCCTGGGCAGGCCTGATAGACTGCGTTTCCTCAGAATCAACAGCAGCTTCTTGCTTTGTTGATGCTTTAGTACTGGCTTTCGGTCTTTGTGCCGTATCCAACGCTTGCTTTGGCTGAGACTCTGTGGTACTTTCATTCGGGCTAGAGAGCCACCACTCTCCTGGAGGTCTCCTTTTCCTCTTGCAACACATAGGACTGTCTGAAGAAATGTCGGATGCTATTGTTGGTAGATCCTGTGATTTTGGTTCCACCCTTTTTGTCTCTTTTCTCTTCTGTTTTTTGCCTGGATCCACAGCATCTTCCTTGGGTGAAGATCGTTTATTCACAGCTACAGTGCAAAAAAAAAGATTGTAAGTTTTCATGCACTCTGCACTGATGGTTATTAAGGATGCCTAATCTCTGAGTTGGGAGTGTTAGATGTCTGTCTAACCAAAATAATAAAAAATATGCTTGGTGTAATTACCAGTGCACTGCATAATTTAGCAAATGTCGGAGGAACTAACCTGTCGTTTGTTTCTCCTTTCTTAAGGATGCCTAATCTCTGAGTTGGGAGTGTTAGATGTCTGTCTAACCAAAATAATAAAAAATATGCTTGGTGTAATTACCAGTGCACTGCATAATTAAGCAAATGTCGGAGGAACTAACCTGTCGTTTGTTTCTCCTTTCGCTCATTGAGGGCAGGTGAAGGTTCATGCTCTTGCTCCTCACAGGAAGGATCTATCTGTTCCAACTCTTTTTGTTGTTTAGAAGTTCGTTTCTTTGTCTTAGAAGCAGTTTCCTCCTTTTTGTTATTCTTTCTTTTTCTGTTGGATTTTGTGGAGTGATGATCTGCTGCAGCAGTGTCTTTATTGGATTCCTTCTTAGCTTTTGGTCTGGGTCTCTCCTGTTTAGATGATTTTGAGGATTTCTTTGTGGCTCTAGACTCAGGATCTAGGATTTCTTGGCTGCCACCTGTATTTGTTTCATCTTTGTCAGAAAGATCAACAGGCTCAGGTGCCTTGCTGTTCGCACGTTTCTTTCCTGTAACCATCACACAAAGAAATATTTCAAATATAAATCACATGTAACCTTTAAATGTATCATATAATTTTTCATTTATGAATGTATTATAAACGTAAAAATAAATGTATTAATAAGGTATATGCACTAATATAGTGCCCTCAAAAAGTAAAAGGTATGAATGTTTAAATGTGTCAAAGGACTGACTTCATACATTCACTAAACATAATTTTGGGATTAATTGATTATAAATATTGGTATATGATTATTAAATATGATTCAGAAAAGGTAATAATACTGTTGAAAAGGTTTGGGGTCACAGTCAGACCTTTTTTGATTTTTTTTTCAGCAAGGATGCATTAAATTTAAATTAAAATGCTGTTCTTTTGAACTTTATCAAAGAATACTGGGAAAAAATGTACCATGGTTTTTACAAAAATATTGTTAATAATAAGAAATGTTTCCTGAGCATGATTTCTGAAAGACCATGTGACACTTTTTACTGGAGTAAAAAAAAATCATTTTTATACACCATAAATCTAAGATTTCATAAAAGTGTGATTTACCTGTTGACACAGTTTTGCGTCCCTGTACAGTTTGAGAAGAGGTCTGATCAGAAATTCTGTCCTCCAATGTTTCAGTTACAAGGTCTGCTCCATCCTCAACACTATCATGAGTCACAGGGCCTTTGCCACTCTTTTTTGAGGCTTTTCCACGTTTTTCTTTCAGTTTCTGTTTACCAGACTCCATTTGCACTTTGTTTCTTTTGGCATCCTGCCCATGCTGATTAGTCGTATCTGTTTCACTCTGTGAGAGTTGATCTGTAGAGTGTGGCTCTGTAGGAACATTCTCCTTTGCGGTGTCTGCTGGGACAGGTCTTTTGTTCCTGCTGACCTCTGCCTTGCGAGGGATGACAAAAAGAACAGGAGCCTCGTCGTCTAGGATCATGAAATCCTCCTCTAAATCTACAGGTGGAGGAGCTGGAACTGCTGCTGGTTTCCTGGAACTCACCAATGAAACCATGTTACAAAAAGTAACAATGACATGTGGTTTAAAGGGTTAGTTCACCCAAAAATTACTTTCTTCTTCCAGACAAATCCAGTCGGAGTTATATTAAAAATTGTCTTTGATCTTTCAAGCTGTTTAATGGCACTCAGCGGGTGTTGCAGTGCATCAGTCCAAAAGAAGTGAAATAAAAAGCACCCATCCATAAAAAAAAAGTGTCTCACATGGCTCCGGGGGGTGAAAAAAGCCTCCTGTAGCCAATGTTGGGCAGTAATGCATTACTTAGTAACTTTGATAACTTTTTTAGTAACGGAGTAATTTAACGCATTATAATTTTCAAAATAGTAATTAGAGTATAGTTACAAGCCGAGGTCTCTATACGTTACTGCCGCGTTACATTGCTGATAGAATGCAGTGTTTTATAATCTAGAGATTGTAAAAAGAATGTAGCACACGAGTCAAGAACCAGTGGATTAGAGACCTGCTCCCGCGAGACCCGACGCAACAGCAGTGCGGCGCGGGAGAAGATGGGTGACTGCTGGTGCGGGCGTAGACACTCGTGTGTGTGCGGGATGCGGGAGAATAAAATGATTCACGGGACTCCCGCAAAATAGAAATATCTAAACATAAAATATCTAAAACAAATAAATTGTTATTCATCTATTGCACAAAAGCAACATGAACTAATATAAA